AGAACGGCACAGTCCTTATGGTAGCTCTGAAGACCATGTATGAAAAACACGCGTGTGAGTGCAGCAGCTCTGGAAAAGATGACCAGTAAACAGCTCGTCCTTCGGCTCACCTACCAGCTTTCAGGCCCTTTAGATCCAGACACACAAGATGCATTTTCCTCTTGGCATTTTGTCAAATTTTTCCAATTTCTTCTTTAATAACATAACATATTTTCACCTAAGATAAAATGTAATTTCCCTGTACATAAGTTAAAAAAATAACAATAATAAACTCTTACTGCATGTATACTACGCGTCTGGTACTGTTCTAAGTATTTTACATGCATAAACCCCTTGATCCTCACCCCATGAGGCAGGTACTATCTACAAATGAGAAAACTGAGGCCCAAGAGTTAAGGAACTTGCCGACCATCAGTCAGCTAGAAGTGGGAGACCACAGCATCAACCCTGGCACCTGGGCTCAAGTGTACAGGCTCTTAACCACTTTGCAAAAGTGGAAGAAGACATTTCAACATTATTCAGGATGGCAAAATGGATTCTCCTGGTTAGTAACATATTCCAGTTAACTAGGAACAGCTCAACTATGCCCAGTCCTGCAGTAACTACTTTCAGAGAAATTCAGCACGATACCACAGCACCCGTGCCTTCTGCAGGCACTGAACACCAGGGGAGCTCGCAGACGCGGACAGCAGGTATCGGTGCGGGTGGTCACTGATTCACAGCTCACCAGGCACCTCTGAGATCATCTGGCATGTGATCCCTTCAACCGAGGAAAGGAAGTGGGTAGTTAGCCAAGCTCCCACTGCTAGCCGGCCTGTGTAAAACCGGGGTTCGCTCTATTACACAACATGTGATAACAAGAATGACTACGATTCATTAAGTGCCTGAGTATGTTAAGGGCTATGACCCCTTTACATGAATTATCTCATTTAATTGTACACAACAGTCCTTCGAGGCATGCGTTATTATTAATGTCATACAGAAATTAGGAAACAGGTTGGGATATGTAAAGTCGTGTGGCTGGCCTCTCTCAGCGGGAGGCCCTGAGCGGGGTGCCGGGAGCGCATCACCCAGCCCTGCACGTTCTGGAGCATGTTCCGGAGCATGGCAGCCCCCCAAAGCGGTGGAGTGAGGGCAGACAACGGATGGGGGTGGTGGTGGGGTGGGGAAGGAGGCCGGCTCCAGCTGCAGCCAGAAAAGCCATCAATGGTAATGATCTGGCACAAAACTAGCCAGCTTGGGACAAGCTTGTAGAGGCAAGTCTAAACACCGCTGCTGAGTGGAATCCAGACAGTTATAAATCTGCCCCTGTGGCAGAGGAACCAGAGAGCGTGCTGAGTTTATGCAAATCGGTGACTCCCCACCCCCACCCCGGCCAGGCACCTCCTCCTTCTTGGGGCTGCAAAGCCCACAGGCACCCTGGCCTGGGAAGGACACTTTTTATAGTCAGCGCTTCCACTGAGGGTGTTCGTTTCACTTGCTCACAGCCAGCTGTGTACAAACATGCAAATCATTAATATTTCCACTTGCCACAGCAGTGTGGCCTCGCACTGGGGGGCTTTCTGAGGGAGATAATTCAGGGTGCTGCTACAGCCACAACATTTAATTCCCAAGGAAAGGTCTGCTCATGCTTTATTCCCCAAAGCCAGAATAACCACTGTCAGCCACCCTTCAGGTTATTCCTGGGGGGGGGGGGGGAGGACCAGAAGAAACAAGGAAGTCTTCTGAGAGCAGGGGATAGCAGGTATATTTTAGAGAAGTTCAGTGCAGCTCTAGGCCAAAGGTTTCCCCGGGTGTCTGGGTCAAGAATCAACAACCAAACGCTGACTAAATAATTTAAGTACCTTTAGTGAAGCGATTTTTTTGCAGTGTGAACAATTGTTGGTAAATTTAGTTCATGAATTCAGAACTGCTGTGGGATACAGGAGGTTGTACCTGTTTTCATCCCCCGATGACTCTACTTTGGGCAGAGAACTGCCAAGCAGAAGGCCAGCACCAGTAGCATCCACCACGCACCAGGAACCAGGCAGCGCCCTTCATACCCCAGGTACACCTGTGGCAGAACCGGGAGCCAGGCAGCACTCAGCTTGGTCACCGAGAGCCATACGCTGGGTGAGTGTGGAGGGCAGAGCCACGACCCTGACAGACAGCCCTCAGGTTTTTAATCAGGTCATGCAGTAACCAGAATTCACTTGTTCAAGGTCAGACAGCCAGACAGGGCAGAGCTCTGGGTGATTGGACCACGTAGGATCATAGAAGCTACTGCCTTATCCCATCTCCCATCCTATATTTTTGGGCAGGGACCTGCTAGAACTCACCATGATAATACAAATGATTCCAATTTATCAATGACGCCAAGCATTTGTTAGTGTAAAAACCAAAAAAAGGCTGTATTGTCTCTTTCTTAAGTCTTGGGTTTTGTGAGCTGTAAGAAAAACTAGGATTGTAAGAGTCAGAGTATAACATTGGTCCCTTCAAAGGGTCTACGTCTCACACTGTTTAAAATCATTAGAGAGACATTACTGCGTGTAAAATGCTCTTTTAGGGTGACAGCAAGCAGAGACAGTGAGATTCACATTTTTCAAACTAGTATTCTGTCACCTCAGTTTTTTAACCTCCCAGATCTACAACATGGGAGCAGAAACATAAATGATCTAAAAGGGAGATAATGATTTCCTTTAAATGTCCCTTCAGAATTTATTCTGGATCTGACCTTCCTAATCACGTCTGTCCGGCTCAGGTTAAAGTCTGCCACGGCAGGTCAACAGACAGGCTGGACAGCAGTCAGAGGCAGCCGGGGCTGTTGCAGTCGCCTGCAGCAACCACACATGAGGACAAGACCCAGTTTCACTTGCCCCTAAAGCAAGGCACTGATTCCACACTGCCTGCCCTCCAGCCTGGAGCCATCAAGTCATTCCCTGTGATTTCATGTTCGTGCTGAGCCTGGACTTCAGATCAGGCCCAGGGTGGTGACGGGGATTCACGATATCATTCCTGAACACTGTTCTGAAATTCCTGTTTCAAAACATCAACGGCCTTTACTGACAAGCTGTGAAGAACAGATAAACTCCACACCCCTGTTATTGTGGGTCCTTGGCAGAGCATCCATAGATGTTGGATCGGAGAATAAACTGTAGGTACGGGGTCTCCCGTGTGCAAACCAAATCCCTGCACTGGCAGAGACATGCCCCTGGTCTGCAGGATCTGTGAAGACCCAGAAATCAGCGGCAGTTAATTGTTCTTTTTACCCCCAATTCACTGGATTCTGAAATCCCTGCCACCAGCCCCTCTCATTTACATTTCTGAACACAACTGAACAACACAACACAACAGCTTTCACTTTTGTCTGTAAGCCCAGCTGCTTCCAGTGGAAATATCAAGAAGCTTTCATTCATACGCTTTCCTAAGGAAAACCAGAGACAACTTGAACGTAAGTAAAATGTTAAATTCCTGTTATAACACTGGTGATTTGTGTTATTGGATCATGTGGCTTTTCTTCTCGGTAGCTGGAGACACCAGCCCACACAGCAGTGACAGACAGTGCTGCATCCCAGCCCACATGTGAATAACCATGTCTGCCAAGAGTCATTCTTTTGAAGGACAAAGTATTATGACATAAAAAGCAACTGCTTTTTTAAAAAAATGTTTCTCTCCCCCAAGTGAGTAAAGTACATTAAAGAAAATATAACAAATCTAATATATTCATTACCTGGATTCTAACAGTTGTTAAAATGATCCTATTTTTCTTACTTATATGCAAGTGTTCACTCACTCACCTGAACCATTTTAGAGTAAAATTATAGCCAGTATAACCCTTTCCTCCTAAATACTTCAGCATGATGACACCAAAGTGGACCTTCTCCTTCATGACTCATTACCACCATCACACAGTGGTTGTAGCAACAGTTCCCAAATACCATCTACCACTCAGTTCATATTCAAATTTCCTGGTCTGTCCCTCAAATGTCTTTTATCGTTTTTTTATCCAAAGCAGGATTTGATAAAGGACCAGAAAGGAGTACCTTTTCCAAACTAACTTGTTGACTGATAGAAACTTAGAGGGGGAATGGTAAGTTAGCATCCCACCGACTTTTTTCAAGAAGAAAAAAAAAAAAATTGCCCATAACCTGACCACAAAAGACAACTATTACTGACAGTTCCATGTATTTTCTCCCAGTTTATTTTTTCTGCTCATGGACACACACCTGTGGTCAAACTGTCTTGCTACAGGTCAGGTGCTACCTCCCTCCTTTTTTGGCAAGTGGAGGTAAGAGAGTCCATACCTGATGGAGCCCTGTGGGCACTACCTTTGGTATTTTGGTGTCTGCTGGGTCTGCGAACTGCTGGTCTGCTATGTTAATAACAGTGAAAAAGGGCAGCAAGTGCCCTGGGACCCTGCTCAAGGGTCCTCCAGTTCCAGGCACACCACAGCACACTGCTGTGTGGTCCCTCTGGCTTCTTCCTTCTCAGAGTTAACATTAATACAAGCCTGAGTGACACGGAGAAAATGGTAATAGGTGCTTCTATCCTGTATCATGGACATCGAGGATAGACAAATACAAGGTTGTCCTTTTTTTTTTTTTTTTAAATAGGAGGTACTTTGAACTCTTTGGAAGAGAGGTGCTACATAGTTAAAAGCTATTATTAACATTCTCTAAACCAAACTGTCACTAAAAATGCAAACTCCTGGGTATCAAAATTTTTCTTTGGGACATTTTTTAAAGCTGAAAAATTTCAACCAGCGACATGTGCTGCACTAAATAAAAATATCTCAACGTGAACTAAGTTCTCAGCCAAGTCAGGCCATCACAGAGCTGCAAATCATTTCACTCCCTAGCAGAACTGTCTGTCCATTTTCTTTAAACTACGCTGAGCTGGAAGCAGGGTCTGATCTGAAGGTGCCCCCCCCACCAAGCAGGCTCAGGTCTGGTTTATACCGAAGTACCCTCACAGAAGGCGGCCGGACCCTTCTTCCAGGACAGAGCACAGGGTCTTCTTACCTTGCTTCCAGGGACACAGGTGGCTTCGTCTCAGGGGCTTCTGTTTTTCAATAGCATTGCCCATTCTAAATAAAGCCAGAGGATCACAGAGCCCTTCCAAGTCCAAGTGTCTTTGCTGAAGAGCAAACGTGGACCAAGTCACCAGCTGAACGGGGATTCATCCCTCAGACATCCCCATCACCCAGCGGCGAGCCCGTGCAAGAAAAACTTGAACTCTGCTCTGAAAGGTCTTTGCCTCCTGCCTCTCAAACTCTCTTCACTTCCAGGGAGGAAATCAGAATACAAGGCTTGTTACCGCCCTGGCAGTGGGTCTCCAGACCCGTCTATTCTAGGAGCTCCTCCTCGGCCTTCCTGACACTCCAATACTCATCGGCACAGCAGCAGCCTCGGAGACTGAACTTCATTTCCAAACTCCATCATCGCTGCTTTTCCTTGGGGGAGGAGTGGGAAATCACATGATCAAGAAGCTGAAAGCTAAAAATAGACCAGTTTGGGGGTGTGCCACAAGAAACACTGTCACAGAGACCCCAGGGTCACACCTTCTTTTTAAGGTTCTAGCCCTTAGACCAGTTTGCATCAGAGGACAAGTTCCATTGGCGAAAACAAACTAACTTCATTATGACTGTGTTTCCAAGGGGAAAAGTAAGCAAACATCAAAATGCAAGCTGCACTTCAATTTCCAAAGAAGAGCTCGGAGGACAAACAGGAGTTTGCAACCTCGTCCACTCTACATTGGAATTAACCTTTCTGGAGAAAATGCTGCACCACCTAAACTCTGAACAACAGATTTCCTGGAAGAAAGGGTTTGAAATCATACACCTTTTTGTGGGGGAAAAAATTAAAGAAAAAAAAATGTCAAGGTACACAGAAAGATTTCACTGAGATCCCAGAGCCTGAGGGTAGAAAAGCTCTTCAGGAATCTCTGGGGTGCAGGCAGTGGGGAGACTGACTGAGGCCCCAGGCCAGGGGCCAGATTCTGCCCTGCCCACCGAGCACAGCAGTTGGTTTCCTCATCCGTTAGCTGCGCAGAATGCCACAGTCCCACCTCCTCGGCTGTGATGAGGACCAAATCAGACAGGCACTTAGGAGTCCCCTTGGGAAATCATTACCACCATCAGGTCACACAGTTTGACTGTGAAACCACAGTAGGTCGGAAGGCAGATATCTGGCTCCAGCCAATTTGGCCAAAGGCACGCAATCAAAGGGACTGGAGGGTAGGATTGGGGAGCCAGAGTAAAATTTAAAGACAAACAAAGGCCCACGGAGCCAAAGAGACGGCATCTAAGTGGCACTCGGTGCGCTAGGGCTTCCACGCTCAGCATGCTGCACCACTGCCGGGGCCATGACCAGGGCTCCACGCCAGCCACAGCCCCTTCCGAGGGAGCAAGAGAGAATCCTGCCGGCGTACGCAGGACCAAAGAAGCCAAATCCAGATCGCTACAGGAGCCTGAGGTTCCGAGTCCCATCTACCAAGACAGAAGTCATTTCCACATGATCGTGGCCCTAGAGTCCAGACTTCTCAAAGCCAACAGCACATGTCCATTCCACCCTCGCAGGGACCGGGCGGGAAGGAGAGTGGGCGCTTCAGGGCCAGCACTGCCACTCGCCAACCTCACACTGCACACGGAGCGCTCCTTCCAGTCAAACCACAACCACGAACCAGGAGAGTGCAGACCCGAGCCCCAGCTGCCCGGAGGGCCACGACACCCGGGCGCGGCTCAAACACCCACAGCATACCCAGCGCCCCACCCCCGTGGCCATCAGTGACTGCCCCACCCTTCTGACACATTCTGAAGGACCCTCAGTTTCCTTCCCCAAACCGTAATAACTATCCTTAGGCCAGTGTTCAGTGCCAGATATGTCCGACCTGATTTCTTCCACAAGACATTTAGTTCAATTTATCTATAGAAGCACAATAGATCAAAGAAGTTCTACTTCCGAACCCACATCCTAATGTCTCTTTTCACCTAAAGAAAGTTTTAACGTATCAGATGCTCTGCACACTGCCCAGCACCAGCAAGTACCTGGACACGGGAGATGCCTGATGACCGATGAACAGACGGGCAGACAGGAGGGCTAAACAAATGCAGACTTCTCCCCTGCCCCAACAAATACATCCTACACTGGGTTAGCCAGAGCTTCTAATCCACAAACAAACTCTCCTTCCGGCAAGAGCCAGGGCGCGGGCCCACCAGAGTACAGTTCCATCTGCCTTCACCACGCCTCAGCTCAGGCCAAGTCCTCGACGGGGAGTGTCACTCACATCTTTTTCATCCCCGTTAGTCTGGAGAGCCCCTGACGTCAGGACCTGACTGGGTCTAGGTCAGTTCCCCACGAGCCGGTGTGCACCCAGGACAGCAGGTCACCACTGGAAGCTGGGCTCGAGGCCGACTCTGCCACGTCTGAGCTAGGGGCTGGCGCGTTCAAACCGTGAGGAAAAGACCCCCAGCTCCAGACAGCTGAGTTACTGCCAAACCTTCCAAAGCACCTGCAGATGTCCTTGAGAGCAGCTCTGAAGGGAGGACCCTGTGGGTCAGCTGCGTCTCAGGTAACCGCGGCCTCCCAAAAGGATTCCCTGTGAACTGCAAGGGGGCTGGGGACAGGGAAAGATGAATCCGACAGCCTTTTCTTAGAAAGCATCTCCAGGACTTGTCCCAGGAAGGGCAAGCGACCACCTAACCCACACCTCAGGGGGCCAGGGGGCTCTCAGGTGAGAGCGGTCAGAAGGGAAGCGCCACCCGAATGGCGAGCGCACGGCCAGCATCCCGGCCTCCCTGTCCTGCACAAGCGCCCCGAGGACGCCGCGGAGGTGAGGCTGCTGTCAGAGGCTCTGGAGCATGCGCTCCCAAGGTGACTCCCTGAAGCATGACTACCGCAAGCCCCAAGTCGCCGACAAAACCCTCTCCTCCTGAGAGCTTGCGGGGGGCGGGGCGGGGGGGGCGCAGAGCTGGGGTCAGGGCGCCACCCTCAGTGACACAGCCAGATCCAGACCCCAGAATCTTCACTTTTGGCCGGCAACCTGCCACCTCTCCGTCCTGACCATAGCGGGGAGGCAGGGAAGGAGCAGGAAACACTGGCTTTGGAGGAGAGCTGGCCCAATCTGGATCTCTAGCTGGGCACCTCCCAGCTGGGTGACTTTGAGACAGGAGCTTGACCTCCCTGGACCTGATTTTTTTCATATGGAAAATATGTACTAGCAGATTGCCTACTTCACAGGGCAGTCTAAAGCTTCAACATAGTATTTTAAAGGTGCCTGGCACACTTAAATAATTACTGGGTTTAATATTCTTTTATTATCTATGAATATCCAACTTTAGAGACAATACATTAAAGAAAAATTATTTGCCATTATGAGGGATATTTTCCTTCTGTATCAATAAGATTCGCTGCAACATTTTGGTAAACAACCTACTCCCTTAGCGCAAATAGAGTTTCACTTACAAACATTTGTATCATCAGAATAATGCAGGCAACATAAGCTGGGGAGGTAGCATTGCCTTTGTTGACGTCTGAAGTGTTTTACACTCGTCTCCTCAATGCAGGGATTCCCTGGTGACTCAGTGGTAAAGAACCCGTCTGCCAAGCAGGAAGCATGGCTTCGATCCCTGGGTTGAGAAGATCCCCTGGAGAAGGGAATGGCAACCAGCTCCAGTATTCTTGTCTGGGAAACCACATGGACAGAGAAGCCTGGCTACAGCCCATGGGGTGGCAAAAGAGCTGGACGTGACTTAGGGACCAAACAACAATAACAACATCCTCGAGGCAAGGTGCAACTGGATTCAGAAGAAACCTGCGTCAGGGAGTCCTGCACGGCACCGCCCACTGCTCAAGAGAGAGAGGCCTGCCACGGCTGTCATGCACAACCCCCACGCCACGGGCAGGAGGCGGAAGCCGGGCTCACCAGCGGGCGCCCAGAAGCTGACGTGTAGCTTTGTGCATGGAATTTGTCTGCTGGGAGGAAAGGCTGACGTTGGTCACTTCCCCTCCAGAGGAAAACACAACAATACAAGGAAGCACCGAGCGCTGTGGGAATGTTCCAAAGTGGGAGCTGCGGCTCCTTCCAGAGCGCGGACAGAGGGGAGGCCAGCCTGGAGGTCAGGCCGGCGGAGCGCCAAGGCAGAGTCTGGGAGCCAGTCTTCTGGGTGCCCTCGCCCCTGCTTTGAAGTGATGTCTCTGCCCAGCGCCACGGAAACCACTGATGGCGAAGGCGCGTCTCCATCAGTGCGTCATCGGAAACGCAGACCGGGGCTCTCTTACGACACACACGTGCACACTCACAGGTCAGTCTCAGACTGTTGCGGCCTGAGTGGCCTGAGACTCACCCCACAAATGGGGAGGCTCAGACAAGGCAAGTAAAGAATCACCTAGTTACCACTGTAAGCAGCACTGAGACACTCAGGGCAGGGGAAGCAAGTCTAGCAGGGCCACCTAATCTAATCTGGGCAGTCAGGGAAGGGTGAGACTGGAGGAGGAGCTGTCCAAGCACACGGGGAAGCACGTCCTGGGCTGGAACGCACGCGCAAAGGCCCTGTGCAGCTGGAGGTGTGCGAATTGGGGAGGTGGGTGGGAGTCAGCTGGGGCAGGGCCTTCAAGGTCCAGGGTCTCAGCTCACAGGCTTCAGGGGGCGTCCAGAATGCTGACCAATGCACGTGCATTCACGTTCCTGGGAAGAGAAGTCCTCGGTATTCATTAAAGTCTCAAAGGCTTCCAAAAGGTTGGAATCCACAGAGCTACTCCAATGCTCTCATTCCAAAACAAGAAAACTCAGGTCCTCATTCTGAGGGAAAGACATCTTCCCAAGGGTTCACAGACAACCCTCATCACTGGACCTCAGGCTGGTGTTTTTCCACAGTTAGCCAGCTGCCTTACTCCAGAAGGGGCATGTCAACAACAACAAAGTGCTAATCCTCACTGAACACGATACGCATCCCACACAAGATGGCTTTGTTTCTGTCCAGGCAGGCCCAGAAGTGACACTCGACAGAATGAACTGTGAAGTCCTCCAGTCCATCTTTCTTGGGGTCTGACCTAACCTGCAAAATACTGGGGGCAGAACCTCCAGTTCCAAGGCACCCCCACAATAAAGCTCCTGGGTTTTTGCAGACCCTGACAGATGGTGCTGGCTCGCGAAGGAAGGGCAGTAGGGGCAGAGTCTCACTCCGCAGCATCTAGCCCTTTAAATAAGCTGCTGCTTGTTCGCTGTTCTTTCTGAAGTCATGACGAACCAGGAACGAGCCTGGAGGACATGGAAGGGAGGAAGCCCACACCCTCAACTTTATCAAATCCACCTGGAACTGAGAGAAATAAACTATTTTTTTAAGTGAACAAAAACAGTAATTTTCTCCTTGTGACTTATTTCACAATTACATGGACTACTCAAGGGAAAATCTAAGTATGTGTGGAGAACACCTCCTGAGCTTTGATGCTTCCTGGAAGACCCAAAAGAGGAAGTCACCTCCCGGAGTGACAGGCACTTGAGGCCTTTGGGAGTCCAGCCGCCCAGCTTCCTCTCCCACATCCCCTCTCAGGAGCCTTTTCTTTAGCCGCAGACTCAGTGCCCCCAGTGAGAACCTGCTCCTGGGAGCCTGCCTGTGCTGAGGCCCACCTCCTAACTCTGCAGTAAGGCAGGGGAGACCGAATGGTCAGCATCTGGCAGACTGTCAACGGGCATCCATCAAGGGGACCCACAATCTCTGCTTCAGCTGGAATGTGACACGGTCAGAGAGGCAACACCCTCACTGGGGAAAGGCTCCCATCACCTTCCTCCCACCCTCGAAGCCCCCAGGATCCGTGGGCTCCTGCCCTGCACAGCGGCCCACTGGGAGATGTCACCCATCGTGGGCAGGCAGCCTCAGCACGGGCGGGGCTGGCGGGAGCCACGGCAGCGGCCTCCAGAGAGGGCCCTCCTGGGTTTAGAGAGGCACAGCCTTCCCCACTGAGGCGGAAGCCACGCCCAGCACGCGCTTCGGCCAACTCTGAGCGTCCTGGTGCCTCCTGAGCGCGGGGGACAAAGCAGCCGACAGGAGTCCTGACAAGCGGGAAGAGCACACGGAGAAGCAGCAAAAGAACCTCACGTTAGACAGCAGAACAGAGACAGGCCCCAGGGACCTGGGAGCGGAGGCCTGCAGGGCGGGAGGGGCGCCGTCACAGTCACCCCAGGCAGCTCTGAGAGGAGCTGCGCGCTCCCTCCGCGAAGCCCACCACCCCCACCCGGGGCCACGTGCCCCGTGAGCGAGGGTCGGCAGCACCTGAGCCAGGCTCCGAGCCCCGCTCTTGGCTCCCTGGGGGGCGGGAGGCATCACTCCCATGCCTGGGGCAGGGGCGCGCCAGGCAGAGGGAGGGGCAAGCGCAGGGCCCGAGGCAGGCATGCACGTGGGATCCTCCAAAAACACCCAGGGGAGAAGCTCAGGCTGCCGAGCCGCCGGGGAGAACGGCCAGGGACAGGGGTGTGGGCGGGCCAGGGAGGACTCTGGCTTTCAGTCACGGTGCAGAGGGGAGCCACGGACAGCCTGGACCTCGCCCGGTTCGAACTAACTCACACTCTGGCTGCTGAACAAAGACTGAAAAGCCATGGGGGTGGAGGTGGGGGCGGGGGGGGGGGGGCGGTGGCGCAGAAGCCAGTCAGGAGGGCAACAGGGCAGCGCTGGCTGGAGCACAAGTCAGCAGAGATGGTGAGAGCCGGGAGGCCGGGCACACCCAGGGGAAGCCCAGGGGACCCGCGGGTGGTCAGGTGTGGGCGACAACAGTCCGAGAGGACGCCGGATTTTATAAGCCTGGTCAGTTAGGCCAAAAATGTCATTATTTAGTAACTTCCCCGCGGCTGAGACTCCGCGGTCCCAATGCAGGGGGCCTGGGTTCAACCCCTGGTCAGGGAACTAGATCCCGCGTGCCAGAACTAAAGCTCCAGCCTGCTGCGATGAAGACTCAGGATCCCACGTGCGACGACTAAGACCCGGCAAAGCCAAATAAACATTTAAACAAACAAAAAACCTCTTTTAAAAAATTACATTATGCACTGTCATGGATACCCTGGGAGGAGCCAGTGAGGCGGGAAGTTAAGGTGGTGAAGCACCACCTAAACTAAGCCCTGGTTTAGTTTAGACACATCAAGTCTGATGCTGTCAAGACATCTAAGTGGAGATGTAAGTGGGCAGTCTGCAGGTCAGGGGACAGTCGGGGGTTGCACACGCACATTTGGGGATGACCAGTATTTAGATGGCACTTAAAGACACTGGACTAGCACAGACAGAGAGAGCAAACTTATGGTTACCAAGAAGGGGAGAGGAGATAGGATGAATTGGGATATAAGGACCGACATACACAATACTATGTGTGAATAGGTTAACTAATGAGAAACTGCTGTATATATAGCTCAGGGAACTCTACTCCACCATCTGTGGTGACCTAAAAGAGAATGAAATCTAAAAAAAGGAGTGGGGATATGTATACATATGACTGATTCAGGCTTCCCTTGTGGCTCAGCTGGTAAAGAATCTGCCTGCAATGTGGGGAGACTTGGGTTCCATCCTGGGTTGGGAAGATCCCCTGGAGAAGGAAAAGGCTACCCACTCCAGTATTCTGGCCTGGAGAATTTCATGGACTATATAGTCCATGGAGTCAAAAAGAGTCAGACATGACTGAGCGACTTTCACTTTCATGACTGATTCATTCTGCTGTCAGCAATAAACTAACAACATTGTAGATTATACCATAGATAATAGATAATAGATTTAAAATAAAAATTTTAAAAGGGAAAAAAAAAGACATGGGACTAAATTGCTGAGGAAGAGACTGGAGGACTCAGCCCTAGGATATTCCAAAACTGAGAGTCTGGAAGAGCAGAGAATCCAGAAAAGGAGGGCTGAAATGGATGTGTCTATGTGTAACCACAACACTTACACATTAAGACAAGTCAGAAGCTTGTTTTAAAAAAAAAAATTACCATGATGTTTTTAAAGTACTAAAGTTGACTACTGTGTGACTTTAAACAAAATTTCAGTTTTAGAGTCTGGTTCTCAAGTTCTAGATGCTTAGTTTTAAACTGTCTTGCTAATCATGGTGACAAATAAATCAAACTAATCAATTAGCTAATATCTCAGGGCACAATATATGCTGAGTGTGAGATTCATCAGAGTTTTCCTCATAGCTGCCAACCGTCTGGGCATCTTCTTGTCAGAGCTAATTAGAGCACTGCTTTTCACCTCACGAGCTGCTGATAAAAACACACGCTGGAAGAGGAAGAACTGTGAACATCGTCCTTCTCCTGCTGTTCTCCTGCGCTAATCTTCACTCTGAGGTGTCTGTGCTGCTCATCCATTTAAAAAGGATTCGTTTCAGTACCGGGCAATGGTTTACCCTAGTTCCTCCACATGCCAACCGGGTAAGTCACGTAAACCTCAGTTTTCTCATCTGTAAAATGAAGTCACTCTCAGCTGCCCGCAGTGCCGCTAATGGGATTAAATACACACAGTACAGCTCCTGGCATCGGCGCTTATAAACTGTTCTCTGCATCCCTCCTCACCCTCCAGGAGCCACTTTTCAGGTCAGGTCCCAAGGAGCCTTTTCATTCCTCTCTGTACTTAACTTTAAGCAGTCATCCCCAAGTGCCCGCATCCCAACACCTACCCGTCAGCAGCACCTGGGTGGTTCTGTCGCTCAGTCATGTCTGACTCTGTGCAACCCATGGGCTGGAACACACCAGGCTTCCCTGTCCTTCACCATCTCTTGGAGTTTGCTCAAACTCAGGTCCATTGAATCGGTGATGCCATCCAACCGTCTCATCCTCTGTCATCCCCTTCTCCTCCTGCCTTCAATCTTGCCCAGCATCAGGGTCTTTTCCAATGAGTCAGCTCTTTGCATCAGGTGGCCAAAGGATTGGAGCTTCAGCGTCAGCCCTTCCAATGAATATTCAGGGTTGATTTCCTTTAGGATTCACTGGTTTGATCTCCTTCCTGTCCAAGAGACTTTCAAGAGTTTTCTCCAACACCACAGTTCTAAAGCATCAATTCTTCAGGGCTCAGTTTTCTTTATGGTCCAACTCTCACATCCATACCTGACTACTGGAAAAACCATACCTTTGACTATACTGACCTTTGTCGGCAAAGTAATGTCTCTGCCTTCTGATACACTTGTCTAGGATCACCAGGGTACTTGTTAGAAATGCCAACTCGCAGCTCAACTCCAGAACTGCTGAAGCAGAAACCAGGGGCTAGAATGAGCACAGCAACCTCCAGGTGCCACAATCTGAGATGCACCAGAGAAGGTGGGTCACGTTCCGGGGCACCTAGCAGGTCCTCAGAACAGGGACCCCTGACCTGTCCTCAACACCTGCTAACATAACAGGCTGTAAACTACCACTCTGTCATAAACACAAACTTCCTACCTTTCTGGTTGTTTTCTTTGAACATCAACTGTAGCACTTGAATAAAAATTCTTACAAAAATTCAACCTCCATCCTCCTTTCTATGGCAACAGGGAAAAGAAAATCTCTAACTTAACCCAAGATTACCGTCCCCATGTAATTTTTTTTCCAATTCTCTCCATAAGACTTGACACAAACACTAAGATCCCTCCCATCCATCCCAAAGAATATGAATTTAAGATCTGGTGAATCTAACTCTTCTCATAAGATAAATACATTCTGGTTGTTGTATGAACATGTTTATTGTTGCTGTTGTTTTAAAACCAAACTGTCCCAGGTTTTGATGCATCCATGAGTTGAGCGATCGGAACGTAAGAAGCGGCAGATGCCCACAGGGAGAACAGGACCAAAGCCGAACTCAGCTGACCCTCCAGGGACTCTACCGCCCTGATCCCGCCCCGGAACAGGCTGTGTTTCTGAAACAGCTGTCTCACTGCAAAACCAAGACCCTCTCCAGCACAAACGTGTGGCACTCAGGAGCTGTAAATGATTCCTCCCCCAGTGTCTTCCAGATCAGAACACTTCTGAGAGTGACAGGGAGGGTGCTATTAATAACCCTGCCAGGACGGCAGGTGGAGCCGGGACGTGAGATCGTCACCCCATCTGTCACGTCGGCCTAAGCCCAGTGATCTTCAGGCTCCTTTTCCTGAGGTGTCCAGACATCTAACTGCGAGGCGAGGCAAGAGTGA